AATTTTTAGCAACCCTGATGAGACCTTCTTATTCATTTTCCATATAAGCGCTGATTTTCCTAAGTTCGACGGCTTGTAAGGAATTTTCCTTTCGAGGGATGATAAAGCATCCCTTGAGCAAGCATCCCTCCAAATTTGAACGTGAAACACCATCTAGGAGTCTGAAGAAAAGATAGGAAAATATGAAATTTTCATTATTTTTCCATATAAGCGCTGATTTTTCTAAGTTCGACGGCTTGTAAGGAATTTTCCTTTTGAGGGATGATAAAGCATCCCTTGAGCAAGCATCCCTCCAAATTTGAACGTGAAACACCATCTAGGAGTCTAAAGAAAAAATAAGAAAATATGAAATTTTCATTATTTTTCCATATAAGCGCTGATTTTCCTAAGTTCGACGGCTTGTAAGGAATTTTCCTTTCGAGGGATGATAAAGCATCCCTTGAGCAAGCATCCCTCCAAATTTGAACGTGAAACACCATCTAGGAGTCTGAAGAAAAAATAGGAAAATATGAAATTTTCATTATTTTTCCATATAAGCGCTGATTTTCCTAAGTTCGACGGCTTGTAAGGAATTTTCCTTTTGAGGGATGATAAAGCATCCCTCGAGCAAGCATCCCTCCAAATTTGAACGTGAAACACCATCTAGGAGTCTGAAGAAAAAATAGGAAAATATGAAATTTTCATTATTTTTCCACATAAGCGCTGATTTTCCTAAGTTCGACGGCTTGTAAGGAATTTTCCTTTTGAGGGATGATAAAGCATCCCTTGAGCAAGCATCCCTCCAAATTTGAACGTGAAACACCATCTAGGAGTCTAAAGAAAAAATAAGAAAATATGAAATTTTCATTATTTTTACATGTAAGCGCTGATTTTCCTAAGTTCGACGGCTTGTAAGGAATTTTCCTTTCGAGGGATGATAAAGCATCCCTTGAGCAAGCATCCCTCCAAATTTGAACGTGAAACACCATCTAGGAGTCTGAAGAAAAAACAGGAAAATATGAAATTTTCATTATTTTTCCATATAAGCGCTGATTTGCCTAAGTTCGACGGCTTGTAAGGAATTTTCCTTTTGAGGGATGATAAAGCATCCCTCGAGCAAGCATCCCTCCAAATTTGAACGTGAAACACCATCTAGGAGTCTGAAGAAAAAATAGGAAAATATGAAATTTTCATTATTTTTCCATATAAGCGCTGATTTTTCTAAGTTCGACGGCTTGTAAGGAATTTTCCTTCTGAGGGATGATAAAGCATCCCTTGAGCAAGCATCCCTCCAAGTTTGAACGTGAAACACCATCTAGGAGTCTAAAGAAAAAATAAGAAAATATGAAATTTTCATTATTTTTCCATATAAGCGCTGATTTTCCTAAGTTCGACGGCTTGTAAGGAATTTTCCTTTTGAGGGATGATAAAGCATCCCTTGCGCAAGCATCCCTCCAAGTTTGAACGTGAAACACCATCTAGGAGTCTAAAGAAAAAATAAGAAAATATGAAATTTTCATTATTTTTCCATATAAGCGCTGATTTTCCTAAGTTCGACGGCTTGTAAGGAATTTTCCTTTTCAGGGATGATAAAGCATCCCTTGAGCAAGCATCCCTCCAAATTTGAACGTGAAACACCATCTAGGAGTCTAAAGAAAAAATAAGAAAATATGAAATTTTCATTATTTTTACATATAAGCGCTGATTTTCCTAAGTTCGACGGCTTGTAAGGAATTTTCCTTTTGAGGGATGATAAAGCATCCTTTGAGCAAGCATCCCTCCAAATTTGAACGTGAAACACCATCTAGGAGTCTGAAGAAAAAATAGGAAAATATGAAATTTTCATTATTTTTCCATATAAGCGCTGATTTTCCTAAGTTCGACGGCTTGTAAGGAATTTTCCTTTTGAGGGATGATAAAGCATCCCTTGAGCAAGCATCCCTCCAAGTTTGAACGTGAAACACCATCTAGGAGTCTAAAGAAAAAATAAGAAAATATGAAATTTTCATTATTTTTCCATATAAGCGCTGATTTTCCTAAGTTCGACGGCTTGTAAGGAATTTTCCTTTTGAGGGATGATAAAGCATCCCTTGAGCAAGCATCCCTCCAAATTTGAACGTGAAACACCATCTAGGAGTCTAAAGAAAAAATAAGAAAATATGAAATTTTCATTATTTTTACATGTAAGCGCTGATTTTCCTAAGTTCGACGGCTTGTAAGGAATTTTCCTTTCGAGGGATGATAAAGCATCCCTTGAGCAAGCATCCCTCCAAATTTGAACGTGAAACACCATCTAGGAGTCTGAAGAAAAAATAGGAAAATATGAAATTTTCATTATTTTTCCATATAAGCGCTGATTTTCCTAAGTTCGACGGCTTGTAAGGAATTTTCCTTTTGAGGGATGATAAAGCATCCCTCGAGCAAGCATCCCTCCAAATTTGAACGTGAAACACCATCTAGGAGTCTGAAGAAAAAATAGGAAAATATGAAATTTTCATTATTTCTCCATATAAGCGCTGATTTTCCTAAGTTCGACGGCTTGTAAGGAATTTTCCTTTTGAGGGATGATAAAGCATCCCTTGAGCAAGCATCCCTCCAAATTTGAACGTGAAACACCATTTTTTTAACTTTTTACTTTGGCGTGCTGGAGCGGCGTGCTAACTTCACACCGGTTACGGGTTTAGGGGTTGAAAATATGAAAACGCAATTCAATGTCGATTTTTTCGTATTTTCAACCCCTAAACCCCTACCGATTTTGAAAGCAATTTGACACAACCTCAAGCAGGACGGTAATAATCACCTGTCAAAAAATTAACGTATAAGCCCATCCGAAATGTCGAGAAAAAAATTAAAACGAAATCGGTAGGGCTCAAGGGTTTGAAAATATAAAAAAATCGACTTTAAATTAGGTTTATATTTTTTTTCTAGAGATTTTGGATGGGCTTGCACCATCATCTTTCGACAGGTGATTACTATCGTCCTGCTTGACATTGTGTTTTTTTTTTCAAAATCGGTAGGGGTTTAGAGGTTGAAAATATGAAAAAATCGACTTTAAATTGGGTTTTTATTTTTTTTCTCGAGATTTTGGATGGGCTTACGTTATCATCTTTTGACAGGTGATTAGTATCGTCCTGCTTGACATTAGGTCAATTTTTTTTCAAAATCAGTAGGGGTTGAGGGGTTGAAAATATGAAAACATCGACTTTAAATTGGGTTTTCATTTTTTTCTCAAGATTTTCGATGGGCTTACACCATCATCCTTTGACAGGTAATTACTATCGTCCGCTTGACATTGTGTCTAATTTTTTTCAAAATCGGTAGGGTTTCAGAGGTTGAAAATATGAAAAAATCGACTTTAAATTGAGTTTTTTTTTTCTTGACATTTTGGATGGAATTATACATTCATCTTTTGACAGTAGGTGATTACTACCGTCCTGCTTGACGTTGTGTCCAATTGGTTTTGAAAATCGGTACGGGTTTAGGGGTTGAAAATAAGAAAACACAATTCAATGTCGATTTTTTCGTATTTTGATACCAATTGGACACAACCTCGAGCAGAACGGTAGTATTCACCTGTCAAAAGATGAACGTATAAGCCCATCCAAAATGTCGAGAAAAAAATGAAAACTCAATTTAAAGTCGATTTTTCCATTTTTTCAACCCCTAAACCCCTACCAATTTTGAAAAAAAAAAACACAATGTCAAGAAGGACGATGGTAATCACCTGTCAAAATGATGTTGTAAGCCTATCCAAAATCTCGAGAAAAAGAATAAAAACCCAAAATAAACTCGATTTTTCCATATTTTCAACTCTTAAACCCCTAGCAATTTTGAAAAAAAAAAAACAAAATGTCAAGAAGGACGATGGTAATCACCTGTCAAAAGATGATAGTGTAAGCCCATCCAAAATCTCGAGAAAAAATATAAAAATCCAATTTAAAGTCGATTTTTTCATATTTTCAACCCCTAAACCCCTACCGATTTTGAAAAAAAATTTTAGACACAATGTCAAGCAGGATGATGATAATCACCTGTCCAAAGATGATGGTGTAAGCCCATCTAAAATCTTAAGAAAAAAATGAAAACCCAATTTAAAATCGATTTTTTCATCACCAAAATCGTAAAACACATTTTCCACGTATATCACCTTCTTGAAATTTAATTTATTTTTCATCCTTGAACAAATCCAAACTAGCCAAACTAACCCAAACTGACCCGTCCCCTTAATTCTCTTTATAAAAAATAACAATAACATTAAAAAAAAAAAAAAAAGTATTGCCAACGACGAGAATCGAACTCACAACCAGCCCTTCCAAAAACTAGCAGTCAACGCTTTATCGCAGCGCACCACAAGCTGCTTGAGAAAATTCTTGTAGAACTCAAATAATAACCCGTCCGACCTCATATAAAAAAAATTATATGACCATACCGTGGTCATTTAGCCACTTCCTTTTGTTTGTGGACGGTATTCGTCCACAGTTCGACGCTGAAAACCGACGCTAACTTCACGGACATACAATAATGAACTACTTTTCAGAAGAAAATTTACATTAAACTGTTAAACAAGATAAAAAATGTACTTACGTATTCCCGCGGGAATCTCGGCATTTTGACAAAGCAGGTGCCTTTCTAAGGAACACAAAAATCGCCTCACAGATAGTTAAAGCACGACAGGCCCTCTAAATGTAAAGAAAATAAAAAAGCCCTTCGCTTCGGATTGCCAAAAAGTAAAAACTTAACGAATTTTCAGGCTAATAGAGTAGCATGTATCAAAATACATAATAATAAACGGCAGAAGCCCAGAACCGGTCGAAACGGGGTTGCCAAATCATGAGGACGCTGGAATGTTGGAGCGATAAAAAAAAACGTATTTAATGCGTATACACGCGCGCTGCCTATGCGCCACCCGTTTCAAAAGCTTGGAACTAAAATATACGGCGCCCGAATACTTTACGTTCATATCGTCAACAAATGGGCGTCCAGCAAAATTTTGGCGGAGGTACCAGGGGGGTGTGTGACATAAAAGGTTTGTTCCCACAGAAAATCACCGACAAGTTATCGACAGTTCTCAAATCAATGTTACCGCGCATGTCTATTTCTGATTGATCCAGAACCGGTTGTAGGAACAGCTGACAGGTAAATGATCTGGATTGCTGCTCACTTCAGTCACTTCACTTCACAAGCGAGTATAACCTCATTTTTTTGATAGCCACAGCACAGCTGATAAAATACGAAAAAAAAAAATAAAAATACCAACTTTCAACTTTGTTTATGTTTGGCCGGACCCTCAAATTTCGAAATGATGTTTGACGATTTAAATTTGGGAGAACTAGGTAAATATACCATAATAACAATTATTATAAAACCATATTAATACTTTTCGTGTTGACATAGCTATTGTGAAGAGCATGCATGAATATACATAAAAGCAGCAAATAAAATAAGATAAAATAATAAATTAGAAATGCATAAGCTATGTATTTGTTATTTCACATTATGTTATCTTATTTTGTCTTATTTTATTTGCTGTATAAATCCAGCTAAACTTTGGGCTATTTTTCATGACTTAGGTACCTAATTTTTCCAAAAGGTATGTTCGATTATGTTGAGTAATTTGAGACTTACCCAATGACATTTGGATTACCCAAGAAAATCAAACACAATCTTTGGAAAAATTATGTTGAGAAAAATTCCCTTTTGTTTCACCGGGTTTATACTTTTGACCCTTTTGACATAATTTAATAATAATAATAATGATAATAATAAACGTCTTTATTTGCATAATCATACATTCATAATATATAATATAATATAATACCTATATGATTCACGCGTACAGAACACAGGTGACGAAGTTTGACTTCCATTTTTAATAAATAGAAATCGACTGAAACAAACCAATAATAGGCCTATTCGGGTTGGGAAAAAGGACGGTTCTAGAACGGTTCAAAACAATCGCACAGTTTACAGATCAAAAAAATTAAAACGACTCGGCTATCACAAATTTCAATATTAAACTGTGCGATGCTTTTGGACTGTTCCAGAACCATACTTTTTCCAAACCCGAATAGGCCTAATGTCAAAAACGTTCGTCAGTTCTTGAACCAGAAGTTATTCATTTTGATTTGTCAAAAAAATTGAATGTGTTATATGAATTAATCTACGACAACCCTTTTTTTTTCAAGTTTCAAGGTCAAGTATGTACCCTGGTGAAACGATCTGTACCTACCTATATATGTCTATATAATAATAATATATATTCATTATACATTATATTACGTTAAAAACTTATTATTCTTCTAGGTGAGTTCATCATAATTCAGAATGCATCAGAATCGCAAGAGAAATATATCCATCCTAAGGAGATGGAAGGAACCTCCTCACTGATGACCACTCAATTTAATTGGTCACAAAACCACACGAAATTGTTTTTAGACCTCTACAAAAAATATAAACCAAAGGTAGGCACCTCCCAAATAAAAACACTGAAAAAATTGTGGGAAATTTTGGCATTGGAACTCAATAAAATTTTAAAAACAAACATCACTCCAGGGCACTGTGAAAATAGATGGAGGGTTTTGGAAAGAGCATATAAAAAACATGTTGATACGATGAATAAGACAGGCCAAGGAAGAAAATTTTTTGAGTATACGGACGAGATGGACGAAATATTTAAGGGCAAAAGAAATGTGAAGCCTACAATATTGTTGTCCAGCACAACAGTGGATGCAATGCCTCAGGATGAAGATGCAGATGTAGACCAGGAAATTATTGAACCTTCAACCTCAAAAACAGCCCTTGAAACACCTGCAAGACATGAAAACCAAAATAAAATAAAAAGGAAAACACCTGTGGTAAATAGAAATCTAACCCTAGCCAGCATGAAAAAAGATAAGAAAGAATACTATGAAGAAAGATTAAAAATTGAAAGGGAAAAGATAGAGCTTCAAAAAGAAAAGTTAAAAGTTATGAAAGAGAGAAATATTTTATGCAAAGAGAGGAATGAGATTTTGAAAAATCAAAAGTAACGTGCATATTATTATTTTTTTCAAGAACAGGGTGATCCGGTATAGATAGAGTGAACACCCCCTACCTTTTTGCTAAATTTTTTTTCTTTTTTGAAAAAAACAAGATAGTTATTTGATTTGGTATATTTTGTTTCTAGGAATTTGAAAACGTTTTTTGAAATTAAATTAAATTAGATTTTTCGTTAAAGCCCTGTGACCAAAAAAGTTTTTTTTTTTTAAATGGAATAACCTATATTATATTTAAATCTATTTTTTAAACGCCCCTATTATTCGCATATCTGAATCTTAAGTGGGAATATATCAGAAATTAGTCAAATTACTGAAATAAAGATAAACAAACTATATATATTCGAAATGAGAAAAAATAAGGGCATTTAAAAAATGGATTTAAGTATAGGTTCTTCCATTTTGAAAAATTACTTTTGTCATCACAGCGCTTTAACGAAAAATCTAAATTTCAAAAAACGTTTTCAAATTCTTAGAAACAAAATACACCAAATGGCTATCTTGATTTTTTCAAAAAAAAAATAAAAAAGTTTAGCAAAAAGGTAGGGGGTGTTCACTTCATACTGGATCACCCTGTACATAGTACTTACCTAATCACACTTTTTGGGGGTTCTCCTTTCTTTAGGACTATTATGAAGTTTTATTTATTTTTTTTTTTTTCGATTTCATTAAAGGATTTTATTTCATTTATTTGGTAGAGAATTTCAGTAGGTAGGTACTTATTTGTTTTCAGAAAAATATTGATTCTGTTGGGACTAGTTTTAGGAATATTATTTATTTTTTGTCACATGAGTTCCTTTATTAGGTGTATTAACTATTACATAATTATTATGTTTTTTTTTTTAATTTTCTCAGGATATTTAGAAAAATGTTAATTTGTTTTATTACTTATAGAATTGACTGAAAAATGAAGGCTGTTTTTTTTTAGTTTGAAAAAATATGTATAAGTAAACTAATAATAACAATACCTAAGTAAATAGTTTGTTTTCCTTGCAAAATTTTACATCCAGATACTTTTGAATATAAAAGTCCATTTGAAAGTAAAAATATTTGTAATTCCATGTTTTAGTAAAATTTTCTCAGAATAACAGATACATAGAACAGAATAATACAGTCAAACCACAAATTAATTATTACCAAGAATATTTACAATAAAATTTCTTTTTTCAACACCATTTAAATCCTGTTCTAAGTCATTCTCTGGGTCTTCATCATTTTCAGGGTTGTTATTGGCACCTTCATCATCTTCCCTATCATTTTCGTTATCTTCTAAAGATAAATTGTGTAAAACACAACAAGCTCGTACAAAGTGAACAATGTTTCTAGTTTTTTTGAGCTTTACATGGTATAATTGACGCCATTTTTGCTTCAATAGCCCATTACAGTGCTCTATTCTGATTCTGTTGGAGGAATGTTCCATGTTATAATTAATTTGGCGCCGAGTTAAAAGTCCTCTATCTGGAAAAGGTGTTAGTAAATTTCTTGAAAGTGGATAGGCACTGTCCCCCAATAAATGAGCATCTTGGCACTTCTCAGCTAAAGATTCGCACAAAGGTGATGTTCGGAAAACTCTAGCATCATGAACCGAGCCAGGGTATCCTATCAAAACATCCCTGATTCGGAGTTTATGGTCACAAACTAGTTGAGCCTGTAACAAAAAAATAATCATAAATACCTATATGTTAATAACAAACTACTTTTTTAAGATGTAATGAGTACCTGACAGGCATTGTTTTTTTTTCGTCTGAGTTTTTGATAGTACTTATTTCTTTGTGTTAATATTTTTAATTCACTATTCAGTAACCCTGGGACTCTTTCCCATCCCATATAAAACCAATTAATGTAAAAATACACTTCAGCATTTACATACCTGGATGGAGTAATATCCTTTCCTATTTATGTAGGATTCAGGATCTTCTTCAGGTTTATCAATTTTGATGTGAGTTCCATCAATGAGCCCTATAATTCCTGGGAATCCGTTTCTAACCCTGAAAAAATGCTCTATTTCCTGTCTTTCTTCAGCATTTGGCCAGGTTATAACTTCTGGTGAAAGGTTACTCAAGAAATATGTCATTCTTTTCAAAACTCTAAATAGAGCACTAATCGTAATGCAAAATCTGTCTGCTACATCTCGATAACTTGATGTCTGGTGGCCAGCATACCACAAAAAAATGTAGGTGTGCTGCAATGCACTCAATTTTCCATAGGGTCCCGCTTGGGATTTGTAATATTCACTAGCGCCAAATCTTTCAGCAATTGAATTTGCTACGACAGAGCTCACTCTGAAATGTTCAACAAATTCTTTTCTATTGAACTGCGGAATTATGTGTTCAAAAAAATTTTGATTTTTGGGCCTAACCCTTTCTTCTAATAGCTCTTCAAAATCTGTTTCTGAATCTACATCAGATAGCGTGGACGGCTCTGAATCATCAGATGGTTCAAAATCGCTCATTGTTTCAATATTATGGAAGGCGAGAGAGCACCAGAAACCACAATACATACAGTAAAAAGCACAAAATAATCTTCAAAACAATCAACAATCACCAATATAACTTATAGGTTATGATCTTTCTTTGTTAAAAAAAAGCAAAAAACTACTGCGCATGATCCGGATATATTACTTTCAAAAGATCCGCAAACTGTTTTGACAGTTAACAAACTGTCCGCAAAACCTGTAGGAACACCGTACCCCGGGTTTCCAAGCAGTCGGAAACCTCTGTAGGAACGCTTCCGAGCCTATTGCGCAGAATCATGACTGTCAAGGACTGTCCATGACTCTTGTGGGAACAAACATAAAGTCGTCACTTCCTGGAGGCAACGTAACGTGGGCGTGTACATAAAGTAAATGAACATCTGCGTGGTAGTTATACATTCGAGAAATAACATTATTCCTGCTATTTTCCACTAGACAAAGTTTACAAGATATTAAGAACATTTTGTTAATCCAAATTATATAATATTTATTGCAGACAGTATATTCACTTCTGCAGAAATAATGATTATAGAGGCGCTGCCTATGAGGACCCGGCAAAGAATATCGGAGCCCGACGTCACTTCGTCCATGAGTTGTGTGATATAGAGACTTTCCACAGCCAGAATACTCAGGAAATTCTTTTACATCATCAATAAATTTCACCTCGTCAAATCCAGAAAATTTTGGGTCACAAGTTGAAGGTACAGGCATCGGTTGCGGATAATTATAATTGAAATCACTTACATTTGAACTACTTGATGATGCTGGTGTAATTGGCGGAACGTTGAGAGTAATTCTAAAGTCACTACTGTCAGGTACTTTTTCGACACTACGATTCAACCACATGATTAGAAACGATTTCGTGTTTTTGTATTGAATCTCGATTTTCCACTAGAATGAAAGTCTTTTAAATGAGATCTATTTATATAAAATGAACACCGTTTATTTTTATCAAAAATACTCGAAGAAATGTCAATCCCATCCCACCTAACCTGTAACAGATTGCATTATTGCATCACGCAACTGCGTTTTTTATGATAATATTAATAGCAAATACAATACAATAGTAAACACAATTTTTCAGGAATGTTCGCAATTTCTAGTCGTCAACTGAAAGCCTGGCTAACCTCGTTTAGTGGGGTTTTGATGGCTGAGGAAATAAGGTAACAGATTGCATTATTGACATGAGACGGTATAAATAAATCGCATAGGAACAGCTTTCTTAGTCTGTGAAATCATCTTAAAGTGTCTCCAGCAATTCTTGAGCTTTCATTCTTTTTTCTTGAAACTTTTTTGGTGTTTTGTGTTATGGGAATTTACTGAACTGACCTGTAAGTACAAATTATTGTTATAGCGATTTTAGATTTTGATTATAATTTAAGAAGGCAATTTGGCTCCAATTAGCCTATCCAAACCACGTGACTTTATTATGGTCGTTCAGGGCAAATAATTGTGACGTGACAGGTCAGCAGGAGGTCAAGTACTGTCATACATAATAAGCACTGTGGTTTAATCCTGTTATTTTTGATGTTCACGTTTTTTTTTCTTTTGTGTTTACTGGTTACTTTTGAGAATAAAATGAAATTACAAGCAGTTCAACTAACCCAAACTCACCCATACACAATAATGGTAAATACAAACAGTTCAAGGTTCTGGTGCCATTAGTCGGCCAGTTTGACAGATCGTTGGATTCTCTAATTGGCATCAAGGGGCGATCGACTTTTTCCTAAATAAAATCGTGACAGATACCCTCACGAGGGAAGACGTATTGACTCTGGTGTTCTGTAATACCTCATCTGTACAAAGGAGGTTGTCACTAAAGAGAGAAATGTTGTCTAACGGCTATTGAAGAATCGCCTTTCGGTCAAATGCCTTTTTCATCATGAATTAGTGACACCGTAATTATATTAACTTAAAGCTGCATGAGGCGGTCGATAGCAGTATAAAGCAGATTTATACGGGTCCGTGAGGTCCGTCTTAAGCAGCTGTCTATCAGTTTTTATGATTTTCCCTTTCATCACTCCAATCGTCTATACGATTTATCTAGAATATTTTGAATTTCCTAATATTTAAAAAATACAATTTTTTTTTTTTAAATAATCTTTATTCTGTAATAATAGGAACAGGAAAATTCACAGGTTTTGACGACACCAATCTCTTCTCCGAGATTCTGCTGGAGTTTCCCGATATGACCGAAACCCTTTCAGATTGTAGTGGGCATGTAGATCGAGAAAGCGGATCGGTTCTTGATAACCAGAGATTTTATCGACTAAAGAAGGCATAACAGTTTTGGTAAACCAATTCTCCAAGTCTCCCCTATTTGGTAGTTTCAGTTCATCTAACTCAATTGACGATCGTTCCTTTCTTGCATTAAAGCTGACCGATATTTTGATGTGAATGGCGTCTGGCGTTGCACTTTGGGCCCATTTGATATCTTTTACTTCGGCGTGGAAACAGTTTGACAGTCTTTCACAAATATCTTGTCGGGTCATAGGAGTCAGAAATTTTTGATGCGGGGGGTTTTTAATTTGTTCTTCCACTGGCAGTTTGTATGCTTCGAAATAGGATTTTTCTTCTATTCCATAATTTTCTTCATAGCAACTATAGCAGCATGTTTTGAAATCCTAATATGAGCATCCTTTACGGTCATTATGAAATTTTGATCCAACTTTATATCCTTTTTCCTTAACACATATTTCACACAAGTGCTTCAGCTCTGGAGTACACTCGGAGCAGTTGCATGCTCTTCCCCAATCACACTCTCTAGGCATGTCTGTACTCGTTGACGGTTGAATTAAGAATGATTTTCCAAGGTGTGTGCCTTTTGATATTACTTTTACGTTCAACAATCTCCCTCACTTAATTGTCTCTATCTCTTTCCAGGAATTGTTATTCCAGGCAATCCCAAGCAGTTGTTTGGTGGGTATTTTCAGATCGCAAACTAATTAGCAATAATTGTAGTATAATTTCTGAACACCTCCTAGAGGCTTAATATAGATAATCTACAGTTTTTACTGCCTTTCTACCCCCCCACTCTTTTTTTTTTCGCTTGCTCATGACAGATGGGTATAAAAGGTCGTGACACACAGAATCAACTCATTTATTTCTCTATCAGTTTCCGACTGACGAGGTGAGTGCCGAAAGAGCTCTTAAAACTATAAATTTATTTATTTTTCCCCCGTTGTAACCAACTATTTTCTGGGAATCACTTTAGCATACAATGACTTTCGTAATTACCGTACTAAAGCATCTTGCTACCCTTTTTGGGCTAATTACTTCGAAAAACCGTGACCAGGTAGTGCAGGAAAGAGTCAAGGAGTGTGCCCGAGCCATAAGGCGAATAAATAAAAAGTTGAAAACGAAAATTTCCATAGGAGAAAAACAACGTTTACTTGCCGCACTGAGCAATGTAAAAAGTTACCGAGCCCAAATTAAGCGAAAGCAAAAGACTGGAGCTGGCATTAAATCGACTAAGCAAACCGCAAAGCATCGTGTTAAGTGGGAGGATTTGCATTCAGCCTTCCAATCAAGAATTCGAACAGGAACCATAATAAATCTCAATCACAAAGATCCTAAAATGTTTTTGGCGGACTGTGCAGCATTATTTAAGAGAAGAATACAAAATGCGCTGAAGAATTTGGAAACTGTCAAGGTTAATGCGGTACTCTGTGGAGATTTCCATATAACCAAGGCCGATAAAATCCAAAGCGAGTATTAGTATCTTAATACTATGAATGCGCCAATATATCGTGACACCGACTTAGACAAATGGTTTAGATCCAATATAGCCTCTCCAATACTAGCAGATCTAGATGAATTCCAGGAAAAAGATTCAGGTTAGGCTTTGGCTGAAGTTATAAATTTAACGATCAACATAAATAAATATAACCCACAAAGAGCAGGAAGCTATATTGAACTTCCCACTTCTATAAAGCGCAAAGAAGCTTGTGTAAACGTGCAGAACACCGATAACAGATGTTTTGCGTGGGCTGTTATTTCAGCACTGTTTCCCGCTCCACCAAATGTTGCAAAAAGAACATCCTCATATCCAGATCCCAAAGATGTGCTGAAGTTGCGGGGAATTCAATTCCCGATGACCTTGGGGCAGATACCGAGTTTTGAGAAACAAAACGGGCTATCTGTAAATGTTTACAGACTTGAACGTTACAAGAAAAATTTCAAAGTCATACCTGTATCCTTAACAAAAAATAAACAAGATAAACATGTGAACCTCCTGATGATA